GTACAATGCTCCTTCGTTGGGCTTATCTCAGAGCCCGATCGATGGCCTTGACACATAATTACCATTTAACTTACTTCAGTTCAATAACAAACCTTAGGATTTTCTTTGCGCTGCTGGAGACAAATAAAAAATATAGTTGCTTTAAGACTGCCTTTTCCTGAATAAAATTACACAGCCTCGCCCAAAATATAAGTTGCGGGGTCTTCGATAATGCTTTATATAAAATTTAGATTTTGGGATACGCCGCTTAGCAAATTTCACGGCCTTCCCCAAATATAATAAACACGTAGCTGCTTTAGGCGCGTACTTAATATTACTTCCTTAAACTCGGGTGCACATTTATGTGACCCAAATCCAAATCTCAACGAAGTCGAAATGTGTTAACGATCCCGGGTGCACTGGTGCGACGTGGTTCGAGACGCATTTTCACGACGTTGCAATTCTCTCAAAATAAATAATAATAATAAAAGCGTTTCAAGAGTTAAAAGGCACATAGATTAAAACATGTACTAAAATCAAACAAATGAGCCAAATATGACAGTTGCGCGACCGTGATAGAACCACGGAACCCGGGAATGCCTAGCACCTTCTCCCGGGTTAACAGAATTCCTTACTCGAATTTCTTGTTCGCTGACTGTAAAACAGAGTCAATCTTTCCTCGATTCGGGATTTAAAACCGGTGACTTGGGACACCATAACTATCCCAAGTGGCGACTCTGATCTTAAATAAATAATCCCGTTCCGATTGTCACTTCAAGTTGGAAATAACTCCCTTTACCATACCCTCTTCCGCGGGTGTAGTAAGTAAAAAGGAGGTGTGACAGTTGGGGCCTATTCTCCCCTTCTAGCCTGTGAAGTAGCTGGGACCATAGGGATTATTCTGGACAATGCCAAACCGTTGAAGTAACCCCTGATCCGGAGCATAGTGTCCTGAAGCATTGGAATAGCAACAAAACCTTCAGGGACCTGGTAAAATAATCTGATTTGGAACCTGGTCCACCATTTGAGCTATAGGTGGCTCCTCAAACATGGCTCTACCTCAAATAGCGGCTAAAATCTAGGGTGTTAGTTCCTACTCAGTTGTAGTTGACGCGGGTGTTCTCACCATCTATGAGAGAATAGAAGAGTAAAGATTCAAACTTCAAGATAGAACAATAACACACGATAAAGAAAGAAAGAAGGGAGGTTTCCTAGTTGTTCCATAGCCTCTCAAAGATAAGTATACACATCTTCATACAAATCCGCAAGACTCTATTAAATATGCTCATGACCTGTAGAACTCATGAACCTAGAGCTCAGATACTAACTTTATCAGGACCCTAAATTCCATTTATGATCATGATGGTACCTAATACTAACTGGTTTGGTAAGCCAACAATCATAATTAACTAATATGAAGACAAATAATAATAATCTACTATCAAGATATAGATAAAACATAAATAAATCTTAAACCGTCGATCAAATACAAAAATAGTATAACAATCTCCCAAAATTCGGTAGTACGAATGCCATGAGCACCTGAATAGAGTACAATTCAGTATAATATAACAATACTATTTGAATCACATAACAATAAAATGAATAAGAAGGGGACTCCATAAGCTGCGAATCAGGGACAACAACTCACTATGAAGTCTCCAGTCAACCGCTAAGCGACATCCTGAACGTCGCTCGGTCAAGTACCACAATCTGCACAAAATATGTAGAAGTATGTACGAGTACAAATACAATGTGCGCTCAGTAAGTATCAAGTCTATTCTCGAAGAAGTAGCAAAGAGATTTTGGCAAAAGTATGATACTCACCTTCAAAACCTGGGTAGTTCTTAATAGCATGATATCACATAATTTAACCAAGAACAACAAATACAATATCAAGGTGCACAAATCAAATATAGGATAAGCATGCTTCTTAAAACAAGATAACCAAAGCATAATTTAATTTTCAAGTTCAGCTATAAAAATGATATACACCAAGTCGCACCTATAAGAATGCTTCTACATAAGTTTAGGATGATGATACATGCTCAAGATTCGACAATAACCAATATCCAGCACATCTCATGTGCTCCAACATGATATGAGTATCACCTGCGCTCATAGGGCGGGTGATCACCTGACTCTAGAGGGATCGATTCATATCTAAGCACAACATAGAAACTCATTGTGGCATAGCATATGAAAATCAGAATAATCGCACAACATAAACCATCATGCCATAACAATATCTATCAATCCGATTATAGTGTGCCAATGTACTATCAATCCCTATCAACATCTCCGTCTCTAAGGATGTATGCATATGTTCAAGAAGTAACCAATAAAATGCACAAGGACATAATAAATATAGACGTGGATGTATGATCATGACATAAGTATGACTAGGGATAAAAAATGTATCAACATCTCAAGAGTAGCCCATCATGCCCAAGTAAGATGTCATAAGCCTAAACATAAATTCTAGCATGAATAAATAGGCAAACATAGTCATATATTCAAGTAAACCATATACAACCAAAGAAGGCATAAAAAAGCTTAAATCTACCCCAAACATGGTATAGCCTTAGTGTACGTATATATACGCTCGTCATCTCACATATACGTCACCCCCAAATCACGTAGCATCTAGTACATAAGTCTAGTTGTAAAAAATCTCTATTAACAAGGTTAGACAAGAGACTTACCTCCTCTTGAAATCGCTCTAACCCTCAAATACTGCTTTTCTTTTGAAATTCTCCTCCAAACATCCCAAATCTAACCAAATAGTGCTTAGCAAGGTGAAATAAAGTCATAAAAATGAAGTTCAAAAAATCAAGCTTCAATCTATAATCAAATCTCAAAATTCAAAAAAAAGTCAACCCAGACCTAGATGGCTAAAACCTGATGCTAAGGTCAAATATCGTTGACCCATGATCCCCACGAGTCCAAATATGTGATTAACTCTCAAATTTAAGTCCAAATCGATGTTCAAAACCTCATAATACCCTATCTTAAGTGGTAGATAAAAATCGTAAATTTTACTCTTTAATTTCATGTTTTAGGAGTAGAAATATATTGAAAATCAATATACCTAATCAAAACCAAGTAAGTATTTTCTTAGCCTCAAGTTCTGGGGTAAAATCTCCTCAAAAATTGCCTCCTCCAAAGTCTAGGTCTCAAAAATAATAAAAATGGGCTAAATCCTGAAATCTGGATATTAAATACCTTGCCAGCAATTACTCGTCGCGATCGCGACAACCAATCCACGCGATCGTGAAGCATAAGCCCTCTGCCAGAAATACTTAATCGCGATTGTGAAGCACAATTCACCTCCCCAGCCAAACCTTCTACATGATCGCGTCTGTCCCTCACGCGATCGCGAATCACTACCAGCCACTCCTACGCGACTGCAAGCCCTTCCACGCGATTGCGAAGCACACATCCCCTGGCCCCCAAATCTCTTCAACATGATCGCGGGAAATAGCTCAGCGACTGTGATGCACTACTATGCATCAGAAAACAAGCAATTCAAACTCAATCCGAAATGCTCCAAAACTATCCTGAATCTTACCCGAGCCCTCCGGGATCCTATCCAAACGTCCGAACAAGTTGTACACCCTATACAAACTCGTTGAAAGGCTCAAAATACCAAAAACCACTTAAAACCAAGAATTAAGCATCAAACAAAAAAATCTCAAACTTTCTTAAGTTTAAAATTTTAACTAGAAGTGTCGAATTAACCTCGGACCATCCGTGACCCGAACTAAATATACGTATAAGTTCAAAATCATCATACGAACCTATTATAATCTTCAACTCACCAATCCAGAGTTATTTATCCAAAATAATGACCTTGGTCAATTCTTCCAATATTAAGCTTCTAGTTAGAAACTAATAGTCTGTTTGGCCAAGCTGCAAAAATCAGCTTATTTTTAGAAGTATTTTTTCTCAAAAGTGCTTTTCTCAGAACTACTTTTGGTGAGAAGCAGTTTGTGTTTGGCTAATTAATTTGAAAAGCACTTCTAAGTGTAATTTGAAAAACAATTAGTATTTGGCCAAGCTTTTAAAAACTACTTCTAAGTGTATTTTTCACAAAAGTGTTTTTCAAAAAAATGCTTTTGGAGAGAAGCTATTTTTTTCGGCTTCTCCTCAAAAATACTTTTTTTTCTTCCAAAAGCTTGGCCAAACACTTCAACTTTGAAAAAAAATACTCCCTCCGTTCCAGTTTATGTGAACCTATTTCCTTTTTGGTCCGTTCCATAAAGAATGACCTCTTTCTAAATTTGGAAACAATTTAGCTTAAACTTACAGTTTTACCCTTAATGAGAAGCTTTTATAACCACACAAATACTCTGGGCTCCTTTTTGACTTGTTTAGAACCACAAAGTCCAAAAGCCTTCATACTTTCTTAAATTTCGTGCCCAGTCAAACAGATTCACATAAATTGAAACGGATGGAGTACTTTTTTTTAAGGAAAAAAGTGCTTCTAGAATTGGAGAAACTTGGCCAAACAGGCTATAAGTGTTCCAAATCACTCCCCGAACCCCTAGAAAATCAGAGCACCCATCCCCACAAGTCATAATCATCAAACCAACTACGAAAAATCTCAAATAGGGAAATGAGGTTCGAGAATTCAAAACTGGCGATCGGATCATTACAAGTATGAGTTGCAAAAACATCTCGGTGATTCACACATTAAATTGGTTCTTAGTGGGTAAATAATTCTGTTGTTCCTTTATATATGTAGATCTTGACTTGTAGCTTGTAAAACATAAATGGAGATGCACAATGATAATAAAAACGGAATGTCCATAGTTATTATCCATTTTTACTTTATCTATAACAGTGGTATCCGACTCATCTTAATTATTTCATTAAGTATTTGTTATCTCTAATCAGCACAAGTATTAATATAAATAAATCACCCACCATAGTCATGAAAGCAGATTAAATATGAGGTAGATTTTAATATGTCAGCTTTAGCAAAAGATAAACATCCAAGTTTTCATAATAGAGAAAACTCAAGGAAAGAAGAATAAAATCGAAAGGAAAAAAATTAAAGCTTCTCCGATCAGTACGTAGATACATATAACATCAATTCACAGTTGTAGAATATCTTGAAACAGTCAATAGGTTGTTAATTAAACAACTAAAAATTCTCAAAGGCCACTTTTTTAACGTGGCCCTTGCAGCTTCCACATTTCCTTCATACTCAGCTGCTTTTAACTCCAACCAAATTTCACGAACCCTTTTTTTTTGTTAATACAAATCTCTACGATTATTCATAGAAGATTGTTTTTTTCCCATATAATGAAAGCTATAAATCAGGGTAACATTGAAGCAATTGGCTCATACGATTCTGATCATCATCAACTAATGGAAGATTAGGGAAAGAATAAGAAGAAGATGGTGCCTCAATCATATCAAAAAATTGGCAATTACTCCCATAACTATTCTTGTCTTCTTCATGAGTAGCCATACTTGTTGAAATGGTGGGGCTATCAAGTTGTGGGAGTTCAACTAGTTGATTTTCAAATCCAATTATTTGGCTAGAGATGAGATCTTGATGATGATGATAGAGAGATGGATTAGAAAGGAATTGATTATTTAAGTTTGATGTTTGGTTGAATGGATTATAATGCATTGGACTTGGCATTTTTGAAGGTGGTCTATAACTTGTATTGGTTCCTCTGATACAATTATAAGCAGAAGTATTTTTCCATGATTCTAAACTTGGATTGTTGTTTGGAGTTGGCTTCTTGAATGCCCTGCATACTACCCATCCTTCTTCCTGTCAATATCAAATTTCAATTTGGTCAGCAAGGTACTAAGTTAAAAGAAGTAAATAATTTTCTTCTTGATCCATAATTACCTAATCTTGTCTCATTACAGAGTTATTATTTCATCTAAAAGTTTAAGTCGTGAGAGAGCAAAAATATTATGTCCCAACATTTCTAATTAAGACTACATTTTTGTGTGGTGACAAGCCAATCTAACTGAGACATATTTTTACTTTAGTTCAATTACTTGCACTCTATGTTACGATCAAGAATTTTAATGGATGGATGAGAGACCTCCAATTTTAATTGGAGGTCATAGGTTCGAGGCTTTAGAAAAAGAAAAAAACCTAATGGTAACAAGCATTTTGCTTTAGTGGGCCCTATAAGTGACGCAAATTTAAATTAATTTGATTAGTGCACTTCAGACATCAGATGGTAATAAAGAAATATGCATACTAGTATTATTTTTATAAGAAAATAGATAACATGCAATAAAGAACAAGTGAAGAAGGTTTGTGGTTAAAAATTATATTGTTCTCCAGAAACCTTTTTCCAACATAAAAGTTGACCCAAAGAAACAAAAAAGTAACTTTGTGTTTCTTTTTCGTTGCCATGCCAACTCCAAGTAAGTAATATTTGGATTAGAGTCCACTGTGAAAAGAGACTATATACTGCTTCATGCGTGACACAATATTAACTATGTTCACAGCAGAATATATATAGTAAACAGTCACTTAATAAAAGCAAGTACCATTTGATAGAGTTGTTCATATATATTTTCATCAAATTTCAACTTCAAGTAGTAGAAGAGTTTTGAAATAGGAAATGATTAAACTGACCTGAGGAGGTCCATGTTGGGAGGTTTGGAGACGATATTCATGCATAATCCAATCACTTTTCCTTCCATTAGGAGCTCTTCCTGTGTAGAAAACTAGTGTTTTTCTCATCCCTATTATCTTCTCCCTTGATAATACTGCCTTATCTCTTCCTGTTGCCTTCCAAAATCCAGCAGCTGTAGCTCTATTTGTCCTCGTTCCACTCGGATATTTCCTGTCCTTGTGGCTGAAAAAATACCACTCGTTTTGTTCTTCATATCCCAGTTTGCACCTATCTGCATGTGTTAAGAATATAATATTAGTAATTGGTTACAAGATCATCATGTCAATGTTGAATATTTTCCTAAACAATGATACCTTGGATGTCCCATGGCTCCATTCTATAGAGATCAATATCAGTGATGACATCAAGATCAATCTTGAGGGAGTTAATTTTTCTCTTGAGGTAGTATCCAACAAGTTCTTCCTCTGTTGGATGAAATCTAAAACCTGGAGGAACACATGACTCCATTTCCATTTTTGATCTGAGAAATTTGCATATAATTGAGAATAGTTCAACACAGAGAAAATGTTGGACCAAAAGAAGGGTGTAATTAATAAAGTTATATCAAGGCTTGACATACTGTTGGAAGATATTTCTTATATCTCATTTTGGTTAAGTAATAAACATCAAACATACACTTTTGCAAAGACAAACATTAATTCCCTCTGCGTCTCAATAAAGTGTGAATCTTACACTTCTCTTGTCTTGCAGATTTGTAATCATTCACATCCATTCGTGAGCAAATTAAAGCCATCATTACCTCTTTCTTTTTGGTTTTTTCTTTGGGTGGGGTGGGTCTGGGGGGTTTTGGGTTCCTCGAATTTTAATTTTTTTTTTTTTTTTTTTTTGTGGGGCAATTAGGAAAATGGCAGACCATTAGTTGGTTCCTACCAAACAAGAAAATCATCAAGAAGCCTCAATTAGTTGCATGCAATGGTTAGCCTTTAGGCAATTCTATGAACATGTAAAAAAATGTAGCCGAAAACATTGACTTTGTTTTATAAAAAAAAAACATATGTTGAAATGATTTCTTTGAGTGCAATCCACTCAATAACACATGATCCCTTAAGAAAACCCTTTTCACACTACCATACGCATTCAATCTCTATGACTATACTATTTTCACTTCATGACAAATGAATTATGACATTCAAGAAAATGATAGTAATGCCTTTTTCTCTTGATATTTTCTTAGCCAATCAAGTGATAGTAAGAGGGCCAAAATCTTACACTGTAATTAATACTGAATAAAAGCTGCTCCTAATAAATAGAAAGAATAACAATCGAAGACGTGAAAGAAAATTCAAGATTTTAGTACTGTTTGAAGGGATTTCATGATCTTCCTACAGCTTAAGAATGTTTTATTAGATGGAAAAACACAAAGAAAAACTATAAACTTATCCTTCATGTTCGTTTACATAAAACCTAAAGGAATTCATCTGCATGGAAGCAATAGCAAAACCATAAAACAGAATAAATTAAGTACCACAAAGAAAAAACAAGCAAAGAGAGGATCCTTTACCGTTTTTCGAGCTGAGAGAGAGACAAAGGAAGAAGAAGGAGGAAGGAGAGAGTTCTTGAAAGAATGAAGATAATGTAGTTTTGGAGAAGATAGAAATTAAAGAGAGACTTAAGAATGAGAGAAACAAAAATGGATAAATCAGGTGTTGGTTAAAATGTTGTTGGTGAGCAAAGGATATATATATAAATATATATGTAGAAAAAGAATTCTTTTTAGCTAACTAGCTAGTAGAAAAAAGAGAAGTAGTGTGTGATAACCAGGTACAACAACAGAAAGGAATTACTTAATAATTCTATGAATATGACAGAACGTCTTTTCAAGTTACTTTTTTTTTAAGATAAATTTTCCCTCGGTGTTCGATATTTGTATTAGAGCTTAATTAAATCCATAATTCATGCCGGGGAATTACACATTGGGGGTAAAACACGCAATCTGTAACAAAATGTGACTCCATACCTTGGGCTCGAATATGAGACCTCTGATTAGAGATGATGGATTACTTTCGCTTCACCATAACTTTTGTTGGTTTTTTTTAAAAGTTATTTTATAAAAGCTAATGTTTGCGTTGGCAAATATATACTCCCTCCGTTCCAAATCATGTGAACTTGTTTGACTGGGCACGAAGTTTAAGACAAAAATGAAGGCTTTTAGAATTTATGGTCCTAAACAAGTTAAAAAGGGTCCAGAGTATTTGTGTGGTTATAAAAGCTTCTCACTAAGGGTAGAATTAGAAGTTTAAGCTAAATTATTTCTAAATTTAGAAAGGGGTCATTCGTTTTTGAACGACTAAAAAAGAAATAGGTTCACATAAACTGGTACGGAAGGAGTACAAAAGAACCCAAAAAAAAAATGCAATCTGAGAGAAAGAGTTATTTTGAAGGGGGGGGGGGGGGGTTGTTAGTTGATGATTACGCGTGGGGGTGGCAATATTGTTTGGACGGCGTGACAACGAATTTTCACGCCACCCCTCCTCTTCTTCATTCTCCGCCGTTATATTATGCTCTAAGATTTTCTTACTCCCTAATCTTTCCCTTTCCCTTGTCAATTCTTTGTCCTATTTTTTTTAGGGTTAATATATACATTGATAGCTTACTGTTAAAATTATTTTAAAATAAGTGCTTAAGAGTTGCAACCTATTATTATAAGTAACTTAATCTAATAGTGTACATTATTGGTCAACTTAATATGACAAATGACCTTCTATAGTAGATTAAATCACCTATAATTATCAGGTTAATGGCACGAATTTCGAGTTGTTTAATCCTAACTCAAGAAAAAAAACAAATAGTTTGAAACTAGTGCATATAGCTGGCATCTAAGCTCGAGCAATCTGTCTAAGGGATATAGTCATAGTGATTTACTTTCTTGTACGACTATAAGTATTTTCACTATTATTATAAATCTTAAATATCATTATGTCTAAGTGATTTATTTTTCAGAAGAAAAAAACAAGCTAGTTATGGTATATATAAATATCAACGGATGGCCGCATTAAAAAAAAAAAAACAATTTCTTTTTTTAGTTTTGTGTTTATTTGCTGTTCTTGTTTGTATATTTGGTGCGCCGCCCTTGGACAATTGGCAGCCGTCGAACATCGACACCTGGTTCCCACGCTGTCAATGTCATGTGGTTTATCATTTGTATGATGAGCAACACCCTTTGTCAGCTCTAATTACACTTAGCCTTAATTGCCTCATTTAAAATGCATGATTTTTATTAGGGATAATATATTTCTTTCTATTCTAGAAGTTAATATATATATACTCAATTCGTTCCATTTTATGTAATGGTTGATTGGGCATGAAATTTAGGAAAGAAAAGAAAAACTTTTAAAATTTACGATCTAAAATAAGTTATAAGTAAATATTTGTGTGGTTGTAAATTATCTCATTAAGGGTAAATTAAGCATTTTAAATTAAACTTTTACTAGATATTAGAAAAAAGTAATACTCTTTTTTAAACTAACTAAAAGAAAAGAGTGGGACAGAGGGAGTATAAGTTAGTTGAAATTTAGGACGTTTCTTTATTGTCCAATTTATGACGTTTCTTTTTTCATTTGTCCACAAGATGAGTGTAGAAAAAGAGAAAAGAAAGGCTATTTAGGTAAAATCATTTCAATTGTATGTCACTTTGCACATGTGAGTTGTAATGGCGAAATCGAAAAATTTAATAAGGGTGTTCAAGTTTTACTCTTATGAATAAAATTATTAAATGTTGAACACTCTTGACATAAATGAAATTGGTAGCCAATAGTGAAGGTCAAATTGACTTTCTTTTTTTCTTCTTTGGTTTTCTTTCAAGTACCAACTAAGCTGAATTATATTTGTGTTGTGATTTGTGTTTGGGGTTCTTTTTTAACTGATCTATTTGAAGTCCTGATAATAGGTGAATTTGACTATAATCACGCACCAAATAATCACCTTCTTGTGAACTTTTAATGTGGAAAAATGACAACAAAATGTTCTTATTAGTGCTTTTCATGATTTGCAGGTGATATAGGTGTAAGGAAAGCTAAGGAGCGGTTTTGGAGTCAACTATTGATGAAAAAAGGCCAATTGTTGAATTTCCCAAGTATCCCATTCAAAACAGGCCAAAATTTCCGGGTACAAGTTCCACCGCGGTTCTACCGCGATCGCGGTGAAACCGCGGTGGAAGACAGTTTCTGAAAGTTGAAGATTCCGCGAGGGCGTTTGGCCGCGGTTCTACCGCGACCGCGGTCGAACCGCGGTGGGCACAGTAAACTTCAGGGACTTAAGTGTAAAACACGGGATTTTTAGACCAAAACCCTATTTAAAACACTAGACTTCGCCCAAGAGAGGCATGTATTGATTTTTTAGGTTTCTTAGCAAGGAATACAATTGTGAGCAAAGACTCTAAACATCTTTCTTCCTTTCTTTTGATTTTTATGATGAATTCAAGTGTAGTTTATTCTCCCATATCTATGAGTAGCTAAATTCCTTGTCTAAGGCTTTGATGGAACCTATCGGGTGATGAACTTCTTGTTTATGTGAATACAAATTGCTAGTTTAATCTTTATTTGTTCAACTTCGTGTTCGTTGTAGTTAATTGACAGGATCCTCAATTAGCTGTACCTATTTAGTGTGCATAACTTGGAAAAGAGTGCATATTTAGGGTATTGTTGAACAACACCACTCCTAGATTATTAGAGGAATCTATAATTGCGGGTTTAAAGGCGGGATTAGGAATAACGAAGTCTTGGGTGCAATCTAAAGTGAATTGTGATTAAATAAAGCAAGTTAGTGTATCTCGGGAGAGTGCAATAGTAGATTACTGTGATTACTCGGGAGAGATTTGCGGTAAGATTAGTGTTCATGATTGATAGAGATGTGTGGGTAAATTTGTATGAGCATAAACAGAAGGGATTCCATCAATAGGGGAAATCATTGCCTTAGCTTTTCCTCATAATTGTTTACAACCTTATTAATTTAGTTACAACTATTTAGTTACTTGCAAGCTAGTTGTTAAAGAACACTCAACTGAGAATTTGAATGTTTGAGAAGCTGGTGCTGAATACTTGGTGGGTTTGAAGATAGCGGTTGATAGGTTAACTCTCTGTGGATTCGACCCTGGGCGTAATACTCGGGTTATATTTGCAACGTCCGCAGAGTTCTTTTCTAGAAGGCATAGTTGGGCGTGATCAAGTCCCTTTTTTATTTTATTTTTTCTTCTATTCCTACAAAATAGAAGAAAATTCCTGTGATGAGATTGGTAGCCAATATTTGTATGCTTGAATGATGATTATAACATGACTAGCTAGCTAGTGAACATGTAAAATTTGCTATCTGTAGTCTGAGGAGGTGTTTGGACATAAAATTACTCCCTCCGGTTCACTAAATGATCAATTTTTTTTATTTTGGTCCAAAAAAGTGTTCATTTATATAACCAACAATATTTCAATTTGTTTTTCCAAATCACCCTCATGTACGTATTCCTAATAAGTCATTTACTCCTCATATTACTGCACATTTAGTTAAGGGTAATTTAGTCATACTAACTATTTTTGTCTAGAATTTAGTATTTCCTAAATGGTTGTGCCCAAAGTAAATTGGTCACTTATTGTGGACCGGAGAGAGTATAAGTTTTGAAAAAAATAGTATTTAGAGTTAAGTTTAAAAATGGTATTTGAAATTATATTCGGGCATGCATTTCACTTGAAAAGATATTACAATTTTGTGAAGGGGAAAAAAAATTCTGAAAATTTTGAAAAAGTAGTTTTTGAAAAACTCATTTTCTAAAAAGTTCAAAAAACTTGAATTTTATGGACAAACAAACTTAAAAAAAAAAAAAAACGGGGAGGGGGGGGGGGGGGGACAAAGGGGGCCTAATTTTAAGGAGAAGTTTCATATCATCGTAAAAAAGATGATGTTTGGAAGATTAGTCCTTTTTTTAATAAATTAAAAAAAAACCTTGTATTTACAAAAGAGGCATGATCATAAGATGCTTGATTATTCTGCTAGTTAACTCTATTCTCAGATTAACAACAAGGCTACTTCAATTTATGTTGTACTTGTGGCCTCAATGAGTTTTATTAGTGGAAATTGAACCTTAAATTACATCGAGCAGTTGACCACCATTCAAAATGGGTGTTGAGGTAATTAAGATTAACCTTTTAGCTACTGATGACCCTAAAACATTAGGGCAAGAAGCCAAAAAGAGAGAAAAAAAAAAAAAAGGAAAGTAGTTGTCTTTTGGTCAGACTGTCTTATAGCCTGTTTGGCCAAGCTTTTTTTTGGGCCAAAAGTACTTTTTTTTTTTTGCCAAAAGCACTTTTGGCCAAAAGTTGAGGTGTTTGGCCAAGCTTTTGGAAGAAAAAAAAATATTTTTGAGGAGAAGCAGAAGCAGTTTTGGAGAAGCAGAAGAAAGTAGCTTCTCTCCAAAAGCACTTTTCTGAGAAGCACTTTTGAGAAAAATACACTTAGAAGCAGTTTTCAAAAGTTTGGCCAAACACTAATTACTGCTCAAAAGTGTTTTTCTAATTAATTAGTCAAACACAAACTACTTCTCACCAAAAGCACTTTTTTTAAAAGTGTTTTTGAGAAAAACACTTCTCAAAATAAGCTGATTTTAGAAGTTTGACCAAACGGGCTATTAGTCCCATAGAAGATTCATCTGACCACAAGTTCC